GTGAGAGTAGGGGGTGCAAGGGGGAAGAGAGACACTGGGGGCTGCAGTGAGACTAGAGGGCTGCCATGGGGCAAGGGAATAGGGAAAATGCAGTGGGGATGGGGGGCTGCAGTTGAGGTAGGGAGATTAAGCCAAGCTGCGGGGACTGCAGGAGGACTAGGGGGGCTGCAGGAGGGCAGGGGGACTGAGCTGCAGTGGGGCAGGGCGTTGCAATGAGGTAGTGGGGATGAGCTAGGCAGGAGGGAGCTACGGGGCTGGTGGGGCTGCAGTGGGGCAGGGAGGACCAAGCAGGACTCAAGGGGGCTGCAGAAGGGCAGAAACCTGGTGGGGCTGGAGAAGGGGAGTCTCTGGAGCCCCAGGGCTGGCTTGTGTTTGCCCCAAGCGGTGGCCACAGAAGATATGTGTGGGGGGGATGTTGCTGCAGCCCCCGAGGCATGAGCAGGGGTGGGGGGCTTTGACTGGCAGCTCCATGCGCTGGTGGGATGAGGGATGCCAGGATAATGGATGTCCGGGAGAAGGTGGAGGGTCTGCAGCAGCTGGGTGCGGATCCCGGGTTCAGTCCGAGCATCCTGGTCACAGGCAGCAGCGCTGCAGCTGAGCCGAGCGACTCCGCGCTCAGCCGATGGCACAGGAGGCTGCCTGACTGCCCGCGGTGCCCGCCTTGCCTTGCCTTCTCCTTCACGGTACATCCCACGGAGCATCTCCAGGTGACTGTACTGCTGTACAGGTACTTTGAAACACCTGGGAGCTTGGCTTCCGCTGGTGAAAATCCCTGAGGAGAAACCCCAGAAGCCCCCGCCGTGCCTTGTAAAGGATGCAAAGGGCTGAATCCGTTTGCAGCACTGCGTATACCCGCTGCTGTCTTCTGCTGCACCTTGTATTGCTCAGAGCAAAGGAGGTTGCACCAGCAAGGAGGTTAACGCTGCATTTCGCTACCTCCCACTTCTTATTTATAGTGGCATTTTATATCCCACCGCGCTGTCAGGTCAGTGGCCGTTGTGGAAGGGGAAGCAGGAGCCCGGTTTGGGCCCCAGTGCTGCCAGGCGTCCTCTCTCCTTGCTTTTTGGTGCAATTGCAGGCAGGTTTAGACGTTTGTGCTTGCACTGCTGGAGGAATCTGGTGAACAGCAGCATCTTGCTGGTAAGCCCACTGCTGAAGAGTGAACCATACTTCTTTCCCTTTTTCCCTATTTATTTTTTCCAAAAAAAGTAGATTCAGCTTGTGGCAAATGCATGGGTTTCAGCTGAGAAAAGGCTTTACGTGTTAGTTGAAGCTCGAAGAAGAAAACTCTTCTTTGCTGGTTGAAGGGTATTTTCTGCACTGTTCTCTTGATTGAGCAGATGCTGCATGCTGTTTTGGGGGAGATCACCACCAGCTTGCAAATATGTATGGTGGTTTGGAGACCTATGAAGACGTAGCCAAGGAGGGGGGCTTGGTACCCACCTATGTGTCCCTCTCTTGCCAGATTAAACCAAAGAGGAGAAAATAGCATTCCCATGTTCAAATAAAACTCAAAAGAGCATTTCTAGCATCTCTCTGAGCTCGGGAGTCCTCAGATGCTTGTCCCGGGCTCTCTGCTTTGGGAGAGCTGGTTGCGGAGGGGATGGGGAGCGCAATGGCTTGCTGATCCCAGGAAATCCAGCTTCCTCCACCCCCTGGCGAGGGAGCTGGGCTGAAGGCACCAAGGACCCTGCTCTTCCCCTCGCACTCGCTCTGCCCATCATGCTTAACAGCACCCGCTGGCCTAGGAGCGAGTCCCAGCGGTGCGTTTGGCAGCACCTCATCTGCCCCTCTCCTGCCCCTGCCTCGCGTTGGAGGCTCCCACCACCTGAGCAAGGCTGGTTTGGCAGCGCGCGCAGGAGCGGGGCTGTCTCTGCTCAGCAGGGAGGCCAACAGTGTTTTTAATTATATATCAGGATAGCTCTGGTTTGCGCTGGCCGGCTCTGCTCCTTTTCATCCCAGCCGTCCTCCTCCCATCTTTCATTCTCGTCGCATCTCATCTGCGCTTTCCTAGTTCTGCCCATCCCAGCTCGCCTGTCCTGTCACCTCCTTAGAATCGCAGAATCATTATGGTTGGAAAAGACCTTTGAGATCATTGAGTCGAACCGCAAGCCCATCGCCACCCTGCCTGCTAAACCATGTCCCTAAGTGCCTCATTTGCACGTTTCTTGAACGCTGTGGGGGACGGTGGCTCCACCACTTCCCTGGGCAGCCTGTTCCAATGCTTGACCGCTATTTCTGTGTAGAAATTTTTCCTCATATCTAACCTGAGCCTCCCTTGTCTCAACTTGAGGCCTTTTCTCCTTGTCCTAAACCCCATGAGAACTCCCTTTGCTTCCCCTCTGCATCCCAGGCTCCAGAAGCAAATCCCATCCATTTCCAGCTGTCAGCTTGAACATCTTGAACATGTTTGTAGGGTGGGGAGGAGCAGCAGCTGCAGACAAGGTGGGACCAGCCCGGAGGACCCACAGCGTGAAGCGTAAATCACCCGCAGTGCTCAGTGGAATGTCTGCCTCAAACCTTTGCTTTCTTAGAAACGTGTTCCCCATCCAAGATGGGCCGCTACTGTGTACAGCAAAGGGGCACCTGAAAATTGGGGGTTTTCTGCTTCCCCCTCCCTAGTTAAAGCATTGGAGCATTGACCTTCACCAGGAGTAGAAAGTAGGACATTGAGGAGCATCATGGCATAACATGAGCTTGCAAGGTCAAAATCAGATGCTAAGGGGTATAGTGAATCATGAACTAGGGGTGCAGCTCGCAAAAAAAAAAAATCTGATCGATAAACACCACATAATAGTGCAGGTCCCTTGCTTAACAGTGGAGGTGAGCAAATAGGACATAACAGAGAAGACTGGAGGTTTTGGGTTCTATTTTCATTTACAATACTTAAAGTGGGGAGGCAGTGCTACTTCTGAATTGATGCTTTGGAGAACTGTGGGTTTAAGAAGAAGAGAGGAGAGCAGGCCAGGTGGGAAGGGTAGATAAATGTACCTGCTGTGTGCATGTGCTCCTAAAACATGGGGCTGCATGAAACATAACTTAAGGCAGCTGTCCAAATGGTCTGTGCATCGTTAGCAGTGTGTGGGGATTGCACAGGTCTCAAACGCTGAGGACACTGCTAGGCTTGAGTCAGTTTAAAAGCTGGCATGAGGGACGTCAGCCTGGACAAGATTATACACCGAGGAGAAACATAGAATCACAGAATGCTTCACGTTGGAAGGGACCTCTAGAGATCATCTAGTCCAACCCCCTGCACACGCAGGGTCACCTAGAGCACGTGGCACAGGACTGCGTCCAAGCGGGTTTTGAAGATCTCCAGAGAAGGAGACTCCACAACCTCCCTCTAGTTCTGTCGGTGGCCACCACTGAAAAGAGACCATCCCTGTCCTCTGCACTCCCTCCCTTGAGGTATTTATATACGCTGATTAGATCCCCTCTCAGCCTTCTCTTCTCCAGGCTGAACAGGCCCAGCTCCCTCAGCCTCTCCTCATAGGGCAGATGTTCCAGGCCCCTGATCATCCTTGTAGCCCTGCGCTGGACTCTCTCCAGCAGCTCCACATCCCTCTTGTCCTGTGGAGCCCAGAACTGGACACAATACTCCAGATGCGGCCTCACCAGGGCTGAGTAGAGGGGCAGGATCACCTCCCTCGACCTGCTGGAAACGCTCCTCTTAACGCACCCCAGGATCCCATTTGCCTTCTTGGCCACGAGGGCACACTGCTGCCTCATGGTCACCTTGTCATCCACCATGACACCCAGGTCCCTCTCTGCAGAGCTGCTGAGAAATTATTGGCCTGTAAGCACCTGGAGAAACTATCTGATGAGCAGCTAGTGCCCAGTCCATCTTCTGTGCATCTTTGCAGATGATTTCAGCTCTTGCTGACAGCTCCTCATGGAGCCAGGCCAGAAGGCCTCGTTGTCCTTCAGTGCTTCAGAAGGAAACCCAGCTCCAGATGTGTAAAAGTAAAGTAGCTCCCTTTCTAGCAGGGCCAATTTTTCCCACCCAAAGCAAGCAGTGTGCCTAGATGCTGAGTGAGGGAAAGCATTAACTCTGTTGTTACTGTTACTCCTGTGTTAATGCTTTTGGGTAGAAAGACTTGAGCTCCGTTGCTGGAGAGCTGCATCGAGGCCCAGTGCGCCTTTGACGCGGAGCAGGGAAGGTGGAGGATCAAGGAGTGAAGACCCAAGTTAATGTCACTTTTGTCTGTCTCTGTGATTTCCCTTCACAAAGAGGACACTGCATAAGCAACGTCCTGGATCAGGCTCTGAGTCCTCCTCAGGCAAAGGTGTCACAAGGGCAGCAGAGAGCAGCTCCAAGATGAGGGCAAACGGAGGGGCTGCTCCCGGCTGCTCACCAAGGGCCAGGTAGGAGCTCAGTGACGGGTGGCCGGTTCCCCGTGTGGGGGACATGTGGAGGTCAAGATGGTGATGAGGAGTAGTCAGCATGGATTCACCAAGGGGAAGTCATGCTTAGCCAATGTGATGCATTCTGCGATGGGATGACTGGCCAGATGGATGAGGGGAGAGCAGTGGGTGTTATCTGCCTTGGCTTCAGCGAGGTTTTGATGCTGTCTCCCATGACATCCTCATTGGCAAGCTCAGGAAGCGTGGGTTAGATGAGTGCACAGTGAGGAGGATTGAAAACTGGCTGAAAGGCAGAGTTCAAAGGCTTCTGATCAGGGGCACGGAGGCTAGTTGAAGGCCTGCAGCTCGTGGTGTGCCCCAGGGTCAGTATTGGGTCCAGTCTTGTTCAATTTAGTCATAAATGACCTGGGTGAAGCGACAGAGCGCACCCTCAGCAAGTTGGATGACGATACAAAACTGAGAGGACTGGCTGAGACCCCGGGCTGCTGTGCAGCCATTCAGAGGGACATGGACAGGCTGGAGCGATGATCGGAGAGGAACCTCATGAAGTTCCAGAAAGGCCAGTGCAGGTTCCTGCATCTAGGGAGGAGTAACCCCATGCACCAGGGGAGGTTGGGGGATGGCTTGCTGGAGAGCAGCTCTGCAAAGAAGGACCTAACAAGTGAACCATGACCAGCAATGTGCCCTTGTGCCCAAGAGGCCCATTGGCATCTTGGGGTGCATTTGGAAGAGTGTTGCCAACAGGGGCAAGGGAGGGGATCCTGCCCCTCTGCTCAGCCCTGGTGAGGCCACATCTGGACTCCCATGCCCAGTGCTGGGCCCCTCAGCATGAGAGGGACTTGGAGCTACTGGAGAGAGTCCAGTGTAGGGTCTTAGAGATGATCAGGGTACTAGAGTATCTCCTTCACAAGGAGAGGCTGAGGGAGCTGGGCCTCTTTAGCCTGGAGAAGAGAAGGCTGAGAGGGGACCTGATCAGTGTGTACAAATATCTGAAGGGAGAGTGTCAAGAAGAGTGGGGCAGAGTCTTTTCAGTGGTAGCCATTGGTAGGATAGGAGGCAGTTATCACAGATTGAAACACAGGACGTCCCATCTGAATTTAAGAAAAAACTTCTTGACTCTGAGGGTGACAGAGCACTGCAAGAGGCTGACCAGGGGTATTGTGGAGTCTCCTTCTCTGGAGGTCGTCAAAATCCTCCTGGACATGATGCTGCGTGCTTTGCATCGGGTGACCCTGCTTGTGCAGGGAGGGTTGACCAGATGATCTCCAAAGGTCCCTTCCAAAATCAGTGATTCAGTGATTCCCTGCTCATCCAGGACAGGCTTTAATGCCCACCCGTGTCAGCCCTGCCACCAGACTCCACCAGGCACCCTTGGGTGCAGGTCTGTACCCTGTGGCCATGTACTTAGAGCAGAGCAGGCCCTCCTGGTCTCAGAGCTGAGAGCTTCCTGTAGGTGTAAGCTAAACCCAAAGAGTTTTTGTAGCAGTGACGTTATCCTTGAAGTGAATTCGGTAATGGACTGGGCCTCACAAGGCAGCCTGGAGGCCCTTAGGCTCTTCTCCTGTCTCTGCATGGGCTTTGCTCTTGTTCTGCAGGAGCAGTGGAGGTAGCAATAGCATTTCTGCAGATGCTTTTTATTTTTTGCAGTGTGACCCTGCCAACCAATTTACAGATTGATTATAAATCTTAGGCTGTAGCCTGGACATAGGGTTATAAAATTTTGGCTTTAACTGCCAAGTCTCCACATTCATCCACAGCCTCCTCGTTTTCAACCTGTATCGTATTTCTTCAGTGGAACAAAAAAAGAAACTTCTTTTTTCACACAAGACAAAAAATTACCAATTGGAGCTTAAATGCCCAAGATTCACGATCATTAAGGACTTCGATAAGAGTAGCTCCAGATTTTCAGGTTTTTGTGTTGACCAATTCCTAATCCTAATTCTGAGACCCTTGAGGAAGAGAAAATAATATAACTGTCAAATTCCTATGGCCCTGAGTGAAATCCATTCTGCTGTGCAGGGAGTGCAGAGGTGGAGAGGCATGGGGAGGTCTCTTGCCCCTTGCACGGTAGCTGTAGGCCTGCTGCTGGGAATAGCAAAGCTGTCCCTGATGAGTATGAGTGAAATAACAACGCATAAACCTTACATAAATAAGGAAATAAATAATAAATCTTTTTCTGTAAAGGTCTGTTTGGTTGCACGTTTTCACTTGCTTTCTCCCTAAGTAGGGGCGAAGAAGAGCTCACGAAAGGCCCAGAGTGACAGAAGAGGATTTGGAGGTCAAGGAGGACCCAGGTCAAATAGCAGTGCAGTCTCTTGAGGCCCAGATGCTCAGAGCTCAGGTGACAAACTGCTGGAAACCAGAGTATTCCTGAACCAAAAAAACCCTCAGAATATTCTAAAATGAATAGTTGTTGAGGTGGAAGGATTTGTCACCTGTTTCTGATGGTTTTGCCCTCTCTAATGCTTCTGAAGAGCAACTTTGGGATGGTTGGTGTGCTCTACCCGATATGTACCATTGCCTCCAGCCTGAAAGAGCTGTCCTGGCTGTGACTTTGTGCGAGCTGTTTTATGGAGAGATGCCCGAGTGTTGCATCCTGCTTGTGGGCTTGCAGAGGACGGTAGAACATGCTCAGTTCTGCTCTGCTTTCATCCCTGACCTGCTCAGTTGGCTTCACATCGTGGGGAAGAAGTGAGCATAGGGACTGCAGATCAGGTAAAGGTCTCCTGAAGGGCAGGCAGGGCAGATCAGCAAAGATCCTCCTTGGCGCTGATGCGCCAGCACGTGTGTGACATGGCCACACCGAGCCAGGAGGATTGTGGCCTTGCTTTAGCCGTGTCACCCGTTCATACATCCATGTGTGCACTGTTTTTCTTCGGTCTGTGTTTTGGTTTGAGGCTTTTTTCTTTGCCGCTCAAATCCTAGGCGTTTTCACCTGTTTGACTAATAAAATATTGCAAGGGAATACTGGAAAAATATTGACAGTGGGTTGGGTGGGAATGTGGGATGAGCAGGGACATCCTCTTGCAAGGAGGAGCTTGGGGGAGTTTGTCCATGCCGTAGCCCTGAGCTACTTGTTGCCCAGAGCAGGACGCTGGTGAGCCCTTGCCTGCCTTTACTTAGGTTTTGCTGCACATCCTTCCTTTGTCCTTGCACCAGGGAGCTCTTTTTTACAGTCAAAATTATATCAAGCTCCAACCAGGTGTGCAGGGGGGTGAGGTGCAGGCAAGCGTTTCTGTCCCTGGAGTGGGATGGGAGCTGGTGCGGAGCGCTCTGAGAAAGGGCTCTGCCTTGGTGCCTCATGACGGGCACCAGAAATTGAGTCAAACCCCTGTGTGGGCCTCCGTCCTTCCAACAACTGCGAGAAAGTTAGCATGTTTATTGAAGATGTCTGGATGCCCCAGATCCGTAATTAACAGCTAGATCCTCAGGAGCCGGGTCCCTGCGTGTGCAGCACTGCTGACTCAGCAACTGCTGCCCAGGGCACGAGACGTCCTCCTGCCACCCGGGTAGACTGTGCCACTGCCGTGGGACTGCAAAGGGGCAAATCCAGAACAAGGTGGAGGTTTCTAAACTCAGACAAGATGTAGTAATGCTGCACCGGGGAGAGGGAAGGCCTCATACCCAGAGAGGTTTACTGAGACAGATGTGCAAACTTTGTGGGCAAGGAAATGACTTTCATTTTGCGGGTTTGATTAATTGTGTCCCCTCAGGCTTTGAAAAGGCTGATGGTTGAGTGAGATGCATCTGTTGTTCATGGAAACAGAGTGAGCGTGGACTTTGGCTCATGTCCTGTTGCTGTGAAGTCTAGCCATGCGAGGGGTCAGCAGACATGCCGAGTGCTTTTAGTCCTTTCTGGGTAGCAATCCAGCTCTCCCCACCTTCTTCCTTTTCACCCCTTGGCTAGTAGCCTCCATGGCTTTCTCTGAGCTAGCTGTGCACGCCTGTGTGCACGTATGTTCCTACGCCTGTGCTGGCCTGGAGGAAGCGTGGAAGGAGAAGGCAGTCACCCCTTGCATAGTGTCTTTGGGGACTAGATTGGGTAGCCATCAACGAGGACATCCGCCAGCAGGATGGATGCAAGGCACAGCCCTTCTGGAGCTGGAACGGGGTTGTTCGCACACCTGCACGGCCCCCTGCGATGCTGCCTGTGTCTCCCACCTGGAGTAATGTCTCTTACATACCTGGATGGTGGCCATCAGTGAGCCTGTCAGCTTGCGGATACACTTCCCCAGCTCCTGGCCTACCCACCTTATCCCTTCTTCTTCTCTTGCAGTTGGGAAGACATCGCTGATCACGAGGTTCATGTATGACAGCTTCGACAACACGTATCAGGTGAGTGTTTCACTGCTCGCAGTAGTGCTCAAACCCAAGCTGCTTCATACCCATGAGCTCCTCGGGTATCTCCCCTTCCCAAAAGGCTGGGAATGTCACTGCCTCAGAACTCTTTGATAAAATATCTCCATCTGAAGGTCCACTTTCCACCACACCTCAGGCAGGCCACAGTCTGGAGGAGATGGAATTGGCCCCAGCGTAGCCTCCTCTCCAAAAACGGATGGAAACCTGTGCTGAGCTGTCAGGGCAGGCTGAAACCCCTTACCATGCATGAGTGCAGCACCTCTTCAGGACCTCCCTGCGCCCGTACGGCACCTGTGCAAGCAGATCTCCCCTGCAGTGCGCTACAGGCCACGTCAGTGTTCAACCAGTCCCAAAACCACAGGGACCATTGGCCTTTTTGTGGTTTCCTTGCATCCTTGTACCTGGGAACAGCGCGGTTAGCAGTAGGGAGGATACAGCCATACTGTTTGGGAAGCCGCTTTCCTCCAGCTCAGCTAGGTGGCCAGCAGAAAGGATGTCACCCAAGGGACAGCCCTCTAAGGGCAGAGGTAGGAGGACAGCAAGAAGCTCCAGGCAATGCCCTGCTCAAGGCAGCTTCAGCCCTGCTTGACCCCTTCTGGACAACCTGTTATCTCACCATAACCTAAAGTAAAGATAATGGGGAAGTCGCAACCTCCCTGGACACCCTGCTCCAGTATTCCCACTGACCCTTCAAACCCTCCCTTCAAAACCTCCCCTTGCCATTGGGTGAGCCCCACAGCTCTTTTTTTTTCCAAAGGAGGCGGTGCTCCTTTCCCTTGCTTTCCTCTTCCCCAGCACCCTTGCAAGGTCCCTGCAGACTCCATCATCTCTAAGCACAACTGCCCCAATTTTGATGCCTTTTAGCTGTGAGACCCCTATTTCTGTGGCTCCAGGTGCAGTGTAGAGGGAATGCAGAGCCCCTGCTGAGGTTGACCTGATTTTTCCCTTTAGATCCTTGTTGGATCATTTCCAGGTGCTTGTCACCCCTTGGTCCCGTGAAAGCTTTTTGCTGAGCTCACCACTCTCCTGCCCTGATGTTTTTTTTTTCTTTACAGAACTAGATTATGCTCAGTCTTCAAAGGCCTCCATTAAGTAGAGGCGAACATTTCCCTGCGGTGCCTCCCGTTTCCTCCGTGCCTGCTGATGGGAACCACTGCTAATGGCCTCTCTCTGCAGGCAAAGGAGGTGCAATTAAGAGGATGTTCTGGCCGACACCACTGCTTTCCAGCCACCTAATGAGCCCCTGAGACTTGGCCACATGGCCTGTTTCCCCCCACGTAGGAGACCCCAAGTCCCCTTCCTTCTGCTGCAGCATGATCTCATCTTCCATCCCACTCCCTCCTGCACCAGCTCCACTTAAGTGACCTTCATCCGAGTGCCAGCAAGCGCCTGAGCACAGAAACGAGGTTATTTACCTCGCCGAGACTGGGCGCCAGATACTGAGCTCATTTCCCAAGCCCCTTCGCTTTTCTCTCTCCAATTCCCCTTTGCCAGACAGGAGCCGCAGGGCCCGGGGATGTCTCGGAGCTGCAGGAGCAACATGGAGCAAGGTGCTCTCACAGCTGCCCTGTACTCTGCAAGCAGCAGCAGAGCTCTAGGTTTCCCCCTTGACAACTCTTCCTGCTCTTCATTTCTCCTCTTCTCTTACAGGCCACAATTGGCATCGACTTCTTATCAAAAACCATGTACCTGGAGGACCGGACGGTGGGTAGCAGGAGATGTGATTGCCGCCTTTGCCCACTGTGAACTTTCCACAAGAGCAAACCCTCTCTGGGCTCCTCTATTTGTGGCCTCCTGGGGGCGAGCTGTGTCCATGCTGCCCCTAAAAAGCATGTGTGAAGAGAAGGAGAGCTTGGTTATCCCCCATCTGCTCGCAGGCGTTATAGAAGATGGTAGTGAAAGGCAGGGCTGCCACTTAAAGCTTCCTGAAATGTTGATTTTGAGGGGGAGGGAATTTGGGAAATGCTAGTGGGAATGGGAACAGATGACAGGGAGAGGAGAGCTGCGGCGCCAGCACAGAAATGCAGCCTATGCTGGTTCTATTACCCACCACCATCCTAACAAAACCCGCTGACAACCCGTGGATGGAGTAGCCGGCAGCAGGATCTCATGTCACGGGCAGCGTGGCATCTAGCTTCCTTTGGTGAGCCTCAGCATGGAATCTGGGTTCCTTGTGGTTCCTTTGGTGAGCCTCAGCGTGGATTAACAAATTCACCCAGAAGTACCACAGACGTAAGTGACCACAGAGGACACGCTGCAAGTTGGGGTGGTGTTCTGGGGGGACATCTGGAGCTGCATCTCCCTGAGCTCCTGCAGAGCGTTCGGCCTCCATCACTGTCTCTCACGTGTCCATTCTGCATTTCGAGACATCTCCCGCTGCTCTGTTGCTGACAGTCTCTCCTTCCCTCTTGCCTTCCACCGTCAGGTCCGGTTGCAGCTCTGGGACACCGCGGGCCAGGAGCGCTTCCGAAGCCTCATCCCCAGCTACATCCGAGACTCCACCGTGGCCGTGGTCGTCTACGATATCACGAGTGAGTTGGACCTTTTCCATGGCACCTGGTGCTGCTGTGCCTGTGTCTGCTGGCTGTGTGGGCACTAGAAATGCTCTCTGGAGAGGCTGGAAGCTGCCCAGCTGACACCGGAAGAGGTTGGAAGCTGCCCAGCTGACACCCAGACACCATCGTGTCTGCTCTGGCAGCTCTGGGCTCGGGCAGCAGCTCCAAACCTGGCCTGGGAGCATCCCTCGGGGCTCAGCACTGCTCTGCCTCCTCTCCTACAGATCTCAACTCCTTCCAGCAGACAGCCAAGTGGATCGACGACGTCCGGACGGAAAGGGGAAGCGATGTCATCATCATGCTCGTGGGCAACAAGACGGACCTCGCGGACAAGAGGTGAGGTGGGCATCCGCCTGCAAGGGTTCTTCCTGGGAGATCGCAGTGGGGCTGGCAGGTCATTGGGGGTGGCAAGAGGCTTTTGTGCTAGTGGGTGGCCCCTCGAGGCAGGTGCCTGTCATGCCACCACACATGATGCTGCTCTGGAGCAAGCTGGATTTTCGTGGTAGAAATGGGGCCAAGCTGAGGCTAAGGGGTTAGGGGAGAACTTTGGGGGCGGTTTTTGGCATGCCAGTAGTGGGAGGTTGCCTGGGACTGATAGGGGCTTTCTTATTCCTCATTTGTGATTGAAATCCCCTCTTGGAGACGGTAGCAAAGACTTAAGCCTTGGAGAGACATGCAGGAAACATGGATGGAGACAACCAAGCAGATGTGACAGGCTGGCCCTGGGGACATGTGATGAAGTGGGGAGAGCTTGGGTCACGTAGAAGGTACCATGGCTGCCAAATCCGGCTTTTTTTTCCCACTAGTCAATTGGAAAAATGGCTGGGAAAAAAATAAGGCAGAGCCTGGGGAGGGTGGCAGCACATTTTGCCCTGCCCCTGTGTAGCAAAACCTTTTTGTCCACATTAATGCCAGTGGGCTTAGCTGCCTGTCCCCCTCCTCTGTGTCCTCAGGCAGATAACGATTGAGGAAGGGGAACAGCGAGCCAAAGAACTGAAGGTCATGTTCATCGAGACCAGTGCAAAAACAGGCTACAACGTAAAGCAGGTGAGAGCCTCCCCCAGGGGAGTCCGTGCGTTGATCTGTGCAGTATTTGCATTCCCTGCAAGGCACCTGAGCACGCCGTGGGTTTAGGCACTGCTGCGAGCCTCCAGAGCCAGCCAGGCCCTCAACAAAGCAGAGTGCCAGGCGTTTCCTTAGGCTTTGGATTGCTCAGAGTGCTGACGGATCCTTTTCCCTGTGTTCCCGCAGCTCTTCCGGCGTGTGGCCTCAGCTCTGCCAGGCATGGAGAGTTCCCAAGAGAAGGGCAAAGAAGGAAGTATCCTTTCTAAAATAACCCTCCGGCTTGTTCCATGGCCAGATCCCGGTGGGCTTTGCAAAGAGAGTTGTGGGGTTTGTCACCTTCCATCACACATGTGAGCAAGCTGGAGGCCAAGGGCTTTCTCTGAGGCTGTGCAGCCCCAGGCCAGGGTGCAGATTCCAGCCGCTGCTCTGCTTGCTGGGTCTCACCAACTGCTTGGCAGGAAGAGCTGGGACAAGGTGGGTAGCAGTGGGGGAATGTCTCATTCCTGATGCAATGGCTGAGGTCAGGGTGGGAAGAAGCCACAAGAGCTTGAAGCCCTGGGCGCTGCATAGCAGTGAGAGCGGGAGGGAATGTGGGGAAGGAGGACACACAACGCAGAAACACAGACCCTTGATCCTGTGCTCCCATGTTTTGGCACAAGTGCTCTGTGGTGTGCTGGGTACCCGCATCTGCACTGTGGCATCCTCCACGGCTGGGCTGAGGGCTGCTGTGCTTCTGCCTGCAGTTAGGCCCCTGTGCTGAGGCCTACAGCCCTCCCTGTGTTGCCAGCTCTGGCCCCACACTGTCCTTCCAACCCATTCATCTGGCTCTGGAGCTTCAGGATAGCTGCAGGAGATGCTATCAAAAGGCCTGGTAACATCAATGTGTCACATCAAAGAGGTGGGTTTCTCTTGGCCCCGTAAATCCATGCCTCTTCTTCCTGCTGTCTCTTCTGCCCTTAACAGTTTTGGAAGTGTCCTCTAAGAGGAGATGCTTGGGTATTTTTTTCTGCTTGTAGGTACTAAGGGGACACTAACCAACCCGTGGTTCCTCTGGGATCCCCAAAACCAGGTAATTGCCAAATGATACTCCAGCCTGCTAGTGCCATAAGGTATGGAACAGGTTGAGGAATCAGGAAGCGTGTGGTAGAAACCACCAGCAGGAGCTTTTCCTCCTTTCCCAACAAGCCATGTTAGACCAGGTCCCTCAGCCCCATTGACCAAGTAGCACATGGCTGAGAAGAGCAAGTATTTGGAGCCCGGAATGCCCCAGCAAACAGCGTGGCCAGAATCTGATCAGAAAATCTTGTGATAATTTTTTTTTCCATTTGTTTCCCTTTCGAGAGCGCCCCGATGCTTTGCTTTGGCTCTAACATCTACGTGACCTTAACTCTATTTCCTCTGCCTTCGTCCCACCAGTGGTTGACATCAAGTTGGACAAGCCCCAGGAGGCCCCAGCAAGAGAAAGCGGCTGCTCGTGCTAGCCCAGGGCAGGCGGAAGCCCCAGAGCCGGCAGCCGGGAACTGTCTCTCTCGCTCTCTCCGGGGCAGGAAGATGGGGGGACATGGGGAGAACACGGCTCTTGGCTGCAGTTACAGAAAAGTTTCTTTTTCTTTGTTGTAAGATATTGGGGAGGGGGGTGAAAAATACACATAAAATAGGTAGCACAACTGCCAAAAGAAAACATTGAGGAAAGAAACGGGGCTGTCATTCAGGCCACGGAGATGTTTTCCCGCTGAACCCTTGTACCTCCTTATTCACTTGTGCTTCTTTTTGGAAGGAAGTGTTGGACTGGGGTCATCTGCAAACTGCTCTCCGAGCGCAGAGCAGGGTCATCTCTCCTGGGAGGTACCTGGCCCAGCTGCCCCTGCAGTGGACCCAAAGTCCTATCTACTGCTAGCAGCTCTTAATAAAACACAGCAGGGCAACGAGGTGCACTGCAACTGAGCCCACCCAGGGCTGCGTGTGTGTTTTGCTCTCCATAGTGGCCCACTCGTTGGCATATGGTCCTAGTCGAGGTCAAAGCTACACTGTGTAGCACAGAGCAGTTGGCGAGTACCTTAGCTTTCCTATACGTGTGTTCTTGCTAAAAAACAAAGGTAAGTGAACTGCCCAACTTGCACCAGAACCTCAAAACATCCAAAAAACCCTCTGTGTGGAGGCACAGACCAACACAGACCTGCACACCAAGCAGGTAGGTTATTCTCCAACACGTTTCAGTAGAAGCTGTCTCAGCCCACATGGATTTGAGACATCAGGGAAGAGACAAGGCAGGAGGACTGGCAGAATGAGCTGAGAGCACACAATCAGTTTAGCCAAATAATTTTATTTAGGGAATAACTTTAATTAAGAATAACTTAAGAAACAGGCATGGCCTTGTTCGGCATTTCCCTACCAAAGGCCTCTGCTTTTCGAGGGAGGTCTTTGCAATTAGAGTAATGCCCCAGACACACAGCAGTGTTCTCCCTTCAGCATTATGGATTCAAAGGAGAAGGCCCAGGAAGAGCCTCCTGCTAAACTGAGTTCAAAGCCTGATAAAACATGTTCCAACAACTCCCAGGCTGCAGGGAACGAGCACAGAGCATTTGTCATAAACAGCACCACCTCCTCTGCCTCCAGCCTCCTGTAAGGATAAGGTGTCTTTGGGCTTTGAGCTGCTCCTGCTCATCAGTCAGCCTCCAGCCTTGCCCAGGGCTCCTCTCAAGCACCCCCAAACCCAAATTCTCAGCTGCTGAGCAAGGGGCCAGTCGCACCCCAAGAAGAGCTGTGGGGCTCACATGCCTTCCCCATCACAAGTAGCACTTGGCAATGCAAAAGGAAGATTGAGGATGTCCAGAAAGAAAGGAAAAAAGCAAAATATATCAGCTTGGAGCAATGAGGCATCAAGCCAGACAGGAAATGGAGGAATAGCTTTTATATAGAAGGACTTTGAAATTCCCAGCTTCACACACCAAGGAGGAATCATCCTCACAGAGGTGCTGCATGGAGATGACCCTCCCTCAGAGCACAAGCTCCTGGGCAGGGTGGCTCCGAACATCTGCTTTGAGGCTGCTTGGGAAGGGGAGGCTGAGCTCTCAGCCCAGCTCTGGGGGCAGCTCCTGACACCACCTGACCCACAAATACCAATGGGGCAGCAAGAAACAAGCAGTGGGCAGAGGCTGAGCAGCTGGGCTGCTTTTGGCATAAAATAACTGCACAAGTTTAGAGGGACAGAGAGGGGGAGATGCAGGGAGAACCAGCTGCTTTTCTCCCCTGCTCCATGCCTGCCTGGCAGAAAGTTGCTCTGTGCACCCTGCCAGGGCAGTGCTGACCATGTGTTACAGTGCTCTCAACCTGCACAAGGCCGGGGAAAGAGGACAGAACCAGGTAGGAATCAGCAGCCCCAGGAGGTAACAGGGTTGCAAGGATAAGTGGAGGCAGAGGAGAACACACAGAGTTCAATTCAAAGATTGCCCTGGGCAGTGCAATCCTTCCTAATTTGCCTTTGCAGCTGTCGAGCTAAAAGCACAAGTATTTCCAGGAATCCAACTGGTCAAGAGGGCCCAATCCTGGAGAAAAAGGAGAGGGAAATAAAGGCAGCAGTGTAGCACAGCCAGCAAGAAGTCACAGCAGCAATTATGCTACACTGCTCACTGCAGCACTGGTTTCCAGCTTATGTTTCCTCTTTGGGAAGAGATTGGAGTACTTCAAACCCTCCCCGTTCCTTTCAGACCCCCAGTGTCCCCCCCACCAGGTCGCTATCCCTCTCCGTGTGTCCCAGCCTTCCTGCCCTCAGGCGATCTTGGCCAGCCACTTCTCCAGGGCCTCCAAGTCGGCGTCTCCATCCTCTCCCTTGCTGCCCCGGGCGCTGCACTCCACAAACTCCACCTTCATGGGCAGCTGGGAGAAGTCAAAATCTTTGCCCTTCTTGCCCAGCTGAGCGGGGCCCCCAGCAGCGGGGCCATCCAAACTGGTGGGAGCTGCAGAGCGGGTCACTCGTAAGGTGTTTCTGTGGAGACAGAAAGGGAAGCAAGACCATGAGCGAGGGATCCGCTGGGATCCTCCAGTGGATGAGAGGAAGCAAAAGGCACCAATCAAGCTGGCACAATGTGACTCACTCCTGGGAGACAACAGCTCTGCCTCTGGTTCTGCTCCCCTGCACGGAATGGAAGCAGTGCTGCTGGTGAGGTGCAAAAGGCTGGGTCAAAGTCAAGCTCTTCCAAGCCAGATGCAGTTTTTTCCTCCACCCCTGAGCCAGTCCAGCCTCCCAAAGTCTCCTACTCCTGAAGGAAGCAGCAGCCTCTAGTGTTCAAGCTCTGCACTAGTTAACATCTGCCTAAAGGGAGGCAGAATATGTAACTCATAAAAACCCTACTTCTAAAGCAAAACAACTGGCAAATGTCCAACATCAGAACCAAGGAAAATTTATCTTCCTGGAGAGATCGATTATGTGGCAACTAACTCCTCCTTTGTGAAGGGGGAGGATCAGCTCTTTGTGGCTGCAAGAGTCACATATGCAAGGGATCCTGCTGCCGTCTGCTGGCCAAAGGGACCACCAGCAACACGGCTGTTCGGATATCAAATATCTGCGCTCCTCCTCCTGACCCCAAGAGCTCCTGGCCTCTACTTTCTCCTCCTCCTCCTCGCTTGCTTTTAAAATCTAAAAAGTGATCACACAGCACCCATCTTTCTAAGGAAATGTTCCTCCTGGGTGGGATGAAACAGTGGCACAGGGGCCCCAACCAGGTCCCTGAAATGCCTGTACCCAAATCTCCTCTGCCAGTGCCTTGTGAAGAACTACCTGGTCTTCGTGCCGCTCACAGAAAGCCTGACAGACATTTGGGAAGGCAGCCACGCCAGTACTCAAAGCACGCAGAGCCCCAGGGTACAAGAGCCATCCTTTACCCTGGGGATGGTTTGGAGAGTGGTGTTTCCCCAAACCACAGTTCCTGGGAGGCTGTCCAGAGACACGAACGTTACTGGATCCTACTGCTTTAGCAGAGGGTCAGTGCTCTCTCACCCTGGGTACTACACACCAAACAGACTGCTCTTTTTCTGCTATGGAAGAACACTTAGTAGGAAGAGACAGAAAGCAGAAAGAAAAGAGTAGAGGGGAAGAGATGTTCAGAGGTTTGAAGACCCCTTCTCCCACTTACAGCTCCTTCTCCAGCTGCTGTTGGATCAGTTTGGCTGATTTTGCCATCGTAACATCTAGAAAGAGAAAAGAAAAAGGAGGAATTGGCTTTTAGAAGTGAAAATTCAGAACCCGTTTCCCTCTTGAGACTTGGCAAAGAAAACCCTGCCCAGAACAAGACCAGGTGATAAAAGATTGTGGAACTTAACATCACCCTGGCTCCCAAACCAGCCCAGCAGGTACCACAAGGCCCCCTCACACTGTTGCCATAGAGGTTCTGGGGAGAAAGTCAGCAGTTTCTGCATGAGGATAAGTGACACTGGAGCACTAGGTTTACAGCACGATGCTTTGTAACCCCCACTGTGCTCCTCAAGTGCCTACAGGAAATAATTATGAAAAATAAAAATAAAAAGCCTGCTTCCAACAGAAAGCTTCAGATTGCTCTACAGGGAACCATCCCAACATGGAAGAAGTGGCCAATATTTGAAAGTTTGGCCCTTTTCAAGAGCTGGATCTTCCTGCTCACTGCTCCATACAATCATGGAGGATAAACAGCCACCTGATTTTAAGGCTACTAAGTGTGCAGAGGGGGCTCAAATGGATCCCATTTTCTGCTTCCTAGAGATTCAGGAGAACAGTTTTGCGTGGGCTCTTCCCTTCCGGAAAGCTTTCTGCCTTAGGTCTACCTAGACACCCACAGCTCTTCCAGTGCTGTCTCTCTGCATATGTGTTTGAAATACTTGACCCAGGATTTCTTCCAATAGCTGCTAGAAGCGTCTCTGCTGATCGCTCTCCGAATCTGCCCTTCCCTCACAGCCTTCCTTTGGCTATGGAATTTGGCAGCCAGGCTGGAACTCCCCTATTACCTGATGTTTGAGTGGCTATTCTACCCCTCAGAGCAGCAACCACCAAATACCTTGTTTATTGCACGCGATGAGCAGCGCGGGCGCGTTCTTGAGCACGGTGCTATCGACCAGCACCTGGTAGAGGAACTCGGCCACGTCCTTCACCTCCCGCTGGAAGGCCACGCTGTCCACCACGAACACGAGTGCTCTGGAGAGAGGAGGAGGAAAGTGCCTGGGCCACAAGCGCCGTAACCACCAGATAACACCAGCACCTTCCTCTCCACCCCTCATCTCGCTCAGTAACCCGCTCCCACCGCTGCAGGGCACAGCACATCACACCCTCACCTGCTTTGTCACCACCTGCCAACCCCCTCCAGGTTACCTGGCAGCAGCCTTGAACCTCTCCAAGAACTGAAGCCGTAAACTCTCGTGGCCCGGGAGGTCTATCAAGGTCACGTTTGCCCCCTGGAAGCACAAGGAAAGCAGATATTAGCAGAAATCAAAGCAGATATTAGCAGAGGTCTAGCAATAACTGTGCACAAGGCCAGAAACACCTGATTCTCACCAAAGTGCAGCCTCTCCCCCAGCCCAAATGATTCTCATGGGCAAAACAAGCGCTGCAAAGTGACATTGGCAGCCAACCCCAGCAACCCAGAGCTGCAAGAATGGAGCAAAGCTGGAGAGAAAAAACCAAAAGCAGGTCGTCCTTCTCAGCACCTGTCCCTTCTAAATTGAGCTGTGAAACCCACTTTCCACAGGCTGCAAAGCAGTGGCATTAAAGCGAATTTCACACACACAGCCCTGGTCACGACAGGGCCACACAGGGCCACGTCATCGCTCTCGATGCCGCCCCAGGTGCTCTCGAGGAACCACAAAAGCAGCAGTCTCCTTCACCACATTCTCCCACTGCTCCCTCTTTGAGTATTTCCTGTCTGCTCAACCTTAAAGAAGCACCAGTAAAAAAAAAAAAAAAAAAGTGCTGCTCACTCCCTATTATTTCTATTGTCACCGAGAGTGCTGGGCTGCAATGTCCCTCTACCCTGCAGCTCCCTCTGAGCATTCACAGGCACTTGATGTGCCCCCAGCTTGCTGGTCTCCCCTGCTGCAATGGCAAAAGAAAGGCTTCTTAGTCCAACTGGAAACTGAAAATAACCAGAAATTGGAAATAACTAGGCTGGTGACATAGGTCAGAAACAGAAAACAACCCAATGTATTTCTGGGGTCATCTGAGGTTCAGCTGGAGAGTCTTTTCAAGCCTGTTTAAGCTTTTAAACACAAGTTTTCTTGGGAGCGACAGAAACAACTGCCAAGCCAATGAAGAGAACGCGAGGATGGAGCCACCCCCTCATGTTATCTCCCTCCTGCTCCAAACCCTTGTCCCCAAAGAGCTTCTTCACTCTGCTAAGAAAAACGTGAGCAGTCAGCAATCTTTAACGCCTCCTTTTTTTTCCCCCCTAGCCTTTCCAGTGTGCGCTGAATCTTTCCCTCCAAACCAGGCCCTGTTTCCAAGCTGGGAAGACCAAAACGCAGAGAGAAGCGGGCCAGGCTCCACGAGCGAGGCCAGCCTGGCCTTGCACGGGGAGCTGAGCGCCGCTCACCTTGTCGCTGCTCACGCGGTACGCGCCGGAGCTGTCCGTGATGGAGGTCTGCGTATCCCGGTACCTGCCCGCCAGCAGCTGCGGGGGAAAAGTTAAACGTTTGGGAGGATGAAGGAGCGCTGGAGCCGGCAGTTAGTCTGCTCAAAGCGAGCAGCGACAGGCTTCAAATATTTACTTAAAACATGAGACTATAAAAATGTGCATAAAAGGATTTTTTTGCGCCAAATATTTTGACATGGACGGTAAGGCAAACAAAACGCGCTTAGACACGGGCTTCTGTGTGTCCGCAGGGCTCCAGGGAAGGGCCCCGCAGCGCTCACCCTGGCGAAGAGCAGCGTCTTGCCCGCGTCGCAGAGGCCCAGCAGCAGCACCGCCCTCCGGCCGCCCTT